CGAGTAACCAAAGAATATAAACATAATGTATTGTTACACTTGTTTAGCCAGGAAAGCCTCACTGAGTCTTAAAGGTTTTTGTAGGGTCCTGCCAAGTGTTTGCAGTAGGGGGCGATGTTGCTGCACCTAATCGGACGATACGAAGGGAGAGTTTGAGGCCTAGTTCTAGGCTTTAGGCCTAGCTGTAGGCTTTACGCCGCTGTGAGTTAATTTTTTATTTAAATGTTTTAATTAAAACTATCTCAGGGAATTATAAGGGAATGTTACACTTGTTTAGCCAGGAAAGCCTCACTGAGTCTAAAGGTTTTTGTCGGGTCCTGCCAAGTGTTTGCAGTAGGGGGCGATGTTGCTACACGGTCAGACGGACGGACGGACGGACGATATAATCTATTGTAGGCTGGTCCACTTCGTTCCTACCAGTATAAACAACGCCATCTAAACCCAACAACGTTGATTGTGAATAATACTGGTCGCGAAAGCCTCCGACGTGTTCAACTGACCTCGTGAGCGCTCTCCCCTCTGCTGTTCCCTCCCCAGTCACGCTGCAGATGCAGTGCGGGTGCAAGGAGCAGCTTAAGCGGAACGTCAAGTGCAAGCTTTGCCCGTGGACCGTCGATCAATTCGTTTGCAAGTAGCCTCGCGACCCGGTCTAGGGGTGGCCTGAGATCGCGACCCGCACGAAGCTGTTAATGGCATCGACATCGAGCGTGTAGCCCTCACTCAGAGCTGCGTGCGTTCTACTTTACACACTTCAATCGCGTGCGAGACACCGCCAGCTACACTTTCATCTTGTTGGTTCTTTCGGTAAAGTCGTCACGTAGAATGGAAGTAATAAAATAATAAAAATAACAAAAAAATTACGTTTCGATTTAAAGCTTCTTTCGTGACTGCAGGGATTCATCTTCTTGGTTCTTTCGGTAAAGTCGTCACGTAGAAGGGAAGTAATAAAATAATAAAAATAAAAATAATAAAATAATTCTCACGACGTTTCGGCCACAACGCAAGCAGCCATCCTCAGGTGAAGAACAGGTCTGTCGGGGAGACAGCGTCTGAATGAAACAGCACACGTGCTTGGAGCGTGTATATAAGCTGGGCGCCTTGACAAAGGAATTTGCATATCAAGAGGAATTTAGCATATTTATGGGAAATGCAGGAATGTGATTAGTACTACTTATGCCCGTGCATTATGCAGGATTAGCAGCATCAAAGGGAAGGGATATGGGAAATGCAGGTATGTGATTAGTACTACTTGTGCCCGTGCATTATGCAGGATTAGCAGCATTAAAGGGAGGGGATATGGGAAATGCAGGTATGTGATTAGTACTACTTATGCCCGTGCATTGTGCAGGATTAGCAGCATTAAAGGGAGGGGATATGGGAAATGCAGGTATGTGATTAGTACTACTTATGCCCGTGCATTGTGCAGGATTAGCAGCATTAAAGGGAGGGGATATGGGAAATGCAGGTATGTGATTAGTACTACTTGTGTCTTCATCATCATCCGCCATGCAAATCATGGAAGCAGCGGCAGATGTGGAGGATGCCTGCAAAAGTGGTGCAAATGTGGTCACCCAGAAGAGACAGCGTACAACGGACAACGCCGCACTGCTTCCGGTCCACAAATAGGACGGAGACATCGCGGCAATGATGCACTCCGCTTCGCTTGCCTGGCTTGCCCACCTCATTGTGAAATTGTAGTCATTGTCTCTGCATCTACATCAGCAGTTGTACAAAAGAAGACCTCCTGCGTACCAGGCGAGGTAGTCAACATCTGCTAGCCACCGTGATGATGAGAGAGAGAGACACGCAAACTCCAAATCTACAGCAGCAGGCGTCAGGGTCGGGATGGAACCCACGACCTCCTGCGTACCAGGCGAGGTAGTTAACATCTCCTAGCCACCGTGATGATGATGAGAGAGAGAGACACGCAAACTCAAAATATACAGCAGCAGGCGCTAGGGGTTACCAAAAAGATTTCCAATATATTAAACAAACACAAGATCCAGGTTCGTTTAAACACAGTACACAAAATCCGTGATTTAATCCCATCTGTAAATGATTCCTCCCATGCAGTACCCTGGTGTCTACAAACCGAGTTGTGGTTGTGGCAGCAGTAACATTTGGGAAACGAAACGGCTTGTCTCGGACCGCGTTCATGAACACAAGGCGGATCTGAAACACGGTAGGACCAATACATCTGCCGTTGCTGATCATTGTTTTAACGCAGTGGGCTCACGCAAAATTGATTTTTCCAAGACGGAGGTACTCTGCAAACCTACCGGCTACGTTCAGAGATTTGTTCATGAAGCCATTCAGAAATATAAACACAGACACAACTTCAGCCGAGAATATGGGTACAAATTGAGCAATCATTGGAAGGATGTTATTAACCAGGTAAAGTCTTAACTGACTGTGATGTTTCCATCCTACCTGCCTATGTCAGCTGTTATTACTGACTCTGTGTCTCTCTCTCTCTCTATGCCTCTCTCTTAGACCTCTCACATGTCCTTTGGATTGCACTGTCAGTCTCGCATGCCCTTTGGAGTGCACTCTCATGGTGCTAATCTCTCAACACAGCTGTTGTGCGCATATGAGGGCATGCTACTCTTTTGCGGCGATGGAAGCTCATTCATGCTAATCTCTCTCTCCCTAATCCCTCTTTCCCTAATCTCCCCCATTAATACAACTGACGTGCTTGCGTCCGGGGGTGGAATCCTTTCCAGCTCAGACCCCGCTTGCTTGCCCATCGCCACATATATAACCTCTTGTTGTAACAGCTCTCTCGCTGGTTCAGCAGTTCCACTGCCGGGTTATATTTTTTTCCGCTTGAGGACGACCGCTTGTGTTGCGATCGAAACGTCGTGATTCATTTTATTTTATACCCACGTGACTTTACCGCAAGAACAAAAGAGTAAAAAGATATATCAACAGGCGTCTTCCTGTGTATCAGGCGAGGTAGTCAACATCTCACAGCCACCGTGATGATGATGAGAGAGAGACACGCAAACTACAAATATACAGCAGCAGGCGTCGTCTGGGTCGGGATCGAACCCACAACTTCCTGTGTATCAGGCGAGGTAGTCAACATCTCACAGCCACCGTGATGATGATGAGAGAGAGACACGCAAACTACAAATATACAGCAGCAGGCGTCGTCTGGGTCGGGATCGAACCCACAACTTCCTGTGTATCAGGCGAGGTAGTCAACATCTCACAGCCACCGTGATGATGATGAGAGAGAGACACGCAAACTACAAATATACAGCAGCAGGCGTCGTCTGGGTCGGGATCGAACCCACAACTTCCTGTGCATCAGGCGAGGTAGTCAACATCTCACAGCCACCGTGATGATGATGAGAGAGAGACACGCAAACTACAAATATATATCAGCAGGCGTCGTTTAGGTCGGGATCGAACCCACAACTTCCTGTGTATCAGGCGAGGTAGTCAACATCTCACAGCCACCGTGATGATGATGAGAGAGAGACACGCAAACTACAAATATACAGCAGCAGGCGTCGTCTGGGTCGGGATCGAACCCACAACTTCCTGTGCATCAGGCGAGGTAGTCAACATCTCACAGCCACCGTGATGATGATGAGAGAGAGACACGCAAACTACAAATATATATCAGCAGGCGTCGTCTAGGTCGGGATCGAACCCACAACTTCCTGTGTATCAGGCGAGGTAGTCAACATCTCACAGCCACCGTGATGATGATGAGAGAGAGACACGCAAACTACAAATATACAGCAGCAGGCGTCGTCTGGGTCGGGATCGAACCCACAACTTCCTGTGCATCAGGCGAGGTAGTCAACATCTCACAGCCACCGTGGTACTCACAGCCGTCCATCCAGAAGACGATGGGAGGAGGAAAGCCTTGGGGAGGGCGGCAGCGCAGCACGGCCGGCAGGCCCTCGGTGGCCATGACGGGTTCCAGCTGTTCACGGGGCCACAGGGGAGCACCTGCAGGACACAGACAAAACCACCCATGTAGCCTTAGACCTCGATTGGAAGTTTCCGTGACTGCAGGGATCCATACTCTTTGGTTCTTTCGGTAGAGTCACGTCGGTATATAATTAATAAAATCACGACGTTTCGGGCGCAACACACAAACGTCCGTCACCAGGTGGGAAAACCACAGCAAGAAACAATTGCTGAAGTGGGCAAAAGGGTTGCCGTGACAAGAGGCTATATAGGTGTTGAGTAGTTCCGACGGACGTACTCGGAGACGGAGGTAAGTTAGGGGCTTCCGCCAGGGTTTATTAAAGCTGTTACAATACACACGCAGCAGGGTGCACAACTCCCAGGGTTTATTAAAGCTTATCTATATTACACAGCAGGGTACACAACTCCCAGGGGCTAGGGGGGTCCTACTCTGAGTCTGGGTCCCTGCCGGCGAGCTCCGGTCTCTCTCTCTCGTGTCAGATCAGGGACTCTGCCGACTCCACCGACTGGAGAGAGAAGCACCTCTACGGCTACCACCGGCTTCTCTCCAGGCTCACCATTCGATCCCTCTCTCTACCCCTGGTTCCCTCTTCACTCTGCTTACTCTACCCGTTCCCACAGTGACCCCGCCCACGTCACGGGGTATCTCTTAAGTACCCCGGGAGACGTGATGTCATCGCACTGAACGGCACACCTGACGTCACGTCCCCATTTTACTCCTCTACATAGGTAAGAGACGGGGGAGGAGCCAAGGAGGAGAGACAGGGAGGGGGTGGGGGGTAGGGTGAGTGGAGTGCCGCTAGAGGGATTAAGAAACGAACAAGGAAATGCCGGGGGGGGGGGGGAGTTAGCGGGGCTGGGAGTGGGAAGCTGAAGAAACTGGAGATGCGGATATGAAGGCAACACCATGAAGCAGTTAAGGTTTGACCTGGTTAATAACATCCTTCCAATGATTGCTCAATTTGTATCCATCTTCCCGGTTGAAGTTATGTCTATGTTTAGATATCTGCATGGCTTCATGAACAAACCTTTGATCGTAGCCCGAAGGTTTTCAGAGTACCTTGGTCTCGGAAAAAACAATATCATGAGAGCTCACAGCGTTATAGCAATGGTCAGCCACGACGGAGGAATTAGTTCTGCCGTGTTTCAGATCTGCCTTGTGCTCGCGAACACGGTCCGACACATGCCGTTTCGTTTCCCCAATGCAACAGCCACCACAGGTGCAACTTAGTTTGTAGACTCCAGGATACTGCATGTCAGGAATGACATCCTTCACCGATGGGATTAGATCACGTATGTTGTGTACTGTACTGAATCGGACCTGGATCTTGCGTTTGTTTAAGATCTTGGAAATATTTTTGGTAACGCCTGCTATGTATGGTAACGTGATGGTTTTGATCGGCGTCTCAGGGGGTTGTTTCTCCATGGTTGGAGAAACAGCTTTGCGAATAATGCGGTCCGAGTACCCATTCATCTTGAGGGCCTGGTGTACGTGTTCCAGCAGCCCTTTTGCCCACTTCACCAATTGTTTCTTGCTGTGGTTGTCCCACCTGGTGACGGTCGCTTGTGTTGCGCCCGAAACGTCGTGATTTATTTTATTTTATACCTACCTGAATTTACCGAAAGAGCAGGGGCGGTTTCTTCATTAGGGCGATTGGGCGACGCACCACCAATGTCTTTCAACCACAGAGTTACGCTAGCCGTCACTGTGCCTCTGGATATA